CACGCCCCACTCAGGCCCTCACCTCCCTAGTGTCTGTGTCCATTGGTTATGCTTACATACATGCATATAAGTCCTTTGATAGATCTCCCCTTCTTCCCCCCACCCTCCCCTGCCTTCCCTCTGAGGTTTGATGGTCTGATTGATGCTTCTCTGTCTCTGGATCTGTTTTTATTCATCAGTTTATATTGTTCATTATATTCCACAAATGAGTGAGATCGTGTGATGTTTATCTTCTCTGACTGGCTTATTTCGCTTAGCATAATGCTCTCCAGGTCCATTCATGCTGTTGCAAATGGTAAGAGTGCCTTCCTTTTTACAGCAGCATAGTATTCCATTGTGTAGATATACCACAGTTTTTTTTAATCCACTCATCTGCTGATGGGCACTTAGGCTGTTTCCAAATCTTAGCTATGGTAAATTGTACTGCTATGAACATAGGAGTGCATATATCGTCTCTGATTGGTGTTCCTAGTTTCTTGGGATATATTCCTAGAAGTGGGATCAGTGGGTCAAATGGGAGTTCCATTTTTTGAGGAAACTCCATACTGTTCTCTACAGTGGCTGCACCAGTCTGCATTCCCACCAGTAGTGCACAAGGATTCCTTTTTCTCTGCATCCTGGCAAGCACTTGTCATTTGTTGATTTGTTGATGATAGCCATTCTGACAGGTGTAAGATGGTACCTCATTGTCGTTTTGATTTGCATCTCTCATATGATTAGTGACTTTGAGCATGTTTTCATATGTCTCTTGACCTTCTTTAGAAAAGTATATATTTAGGTCTATTGCTCATTTTTTTATTGGATTCTTTATCTTCTTTTGTTAAGTTGTATGAATTCCCTGTAAATGTTTGGTACTGGCACAAGAACAGACATATAGACCAATGGAATAGAATAGAGAACCCAGAAATCAACCCAAACAACTATACTCAATTAATATTTGACAAGGAGGCAAGAGCATACAATGGAGTCAAGACAGTCTCTTCAGCCCATTGCATGGGAGAACATATTTGCCAATGTTATCTGATAAGGGTGAAGAATCATTATGTTTTTAATCACATTTGAATTTTGGATGGT